CGATCATATAGGGAAAAAATACGAAGGTATACGGAGAATATGCATTCGTTTACGAGCGTAAACGGATTGTATATACTTCCTACTGAGCACCAGATAACTCTACACTGTATTTAGGGGTGGCATTTTCCTGTTAATTTATTTTAAATTTGAATTAAACATAAATTTAAATCGAATTTAAATCAATTTAAATTAATTTCAATCCAATTTAAGATAATCTAAATCGATTTAAATTGATTTAAATCGGGTTCAAATCCAATAAAAATATATTAGAATTCAATTTACATCCATTTAAATGGGTTTAAACCAGATTCTAATACAGTTTAGCCCAATTTAAATCGATTTAAATAGAACATAAATCCATTTCAATCTATTTACACGCATTAGAAACATATTTAAAACTATTTAAATCCATTGAAATTGGACTTAACTGCATTAGAATCGGGTTTAAATACATTTAAATGGATGTAAATTAGATCCAAATCTATTTTTAATAGACTTCAACCAGATTTAAATTCATTTACATCGATTTAAATCTAATTTCAATAGGTTTGAATGGATACATATGAGTTTAAATCAGATTCTAATGCATTTAAACCCAGTTTAAAAGCATTTAAATTCGATTTAAACCCATTTACATCCAATTTAAGTCGATCCCAATCGAATTTAAATCTAATTAAAATTAAAATTATTGTAATTTAAATTCAAAATAAATTTTTAAATTATGCTAATTTAAATTTAAAATAAAGAACGAGGGCGGATAAGGCCATTTTCCGGCCTCTCATGGATTGGAAATTTTTGTATTGCCATCGAGTCAGGGCTGGTCCCTGATCATATTCCACGGGTCAAAATTGCGATAAGTGACATCTTGGTTTTTGGAACCTGGGGTATCCCACAGGGATTTGGGGAGAACTTTTTCCTGCGCTTTGGTCCCAATACACCTAGATATATCAATTTGAGTATGCTGATCACGAATATCATATTTAGAATGAATAGGACTGTATTCTCTGAAAAATAGAGGCGGCTCAATGTGGTCATCCATAGGGACACCTGGCTGATCTTCGCTTGTCTTGGGCTCCAACTTCAAATGATTCATGTTAACAAATTGACTTGCTCATACTCAAAAATACGAGCTCTATTCGAATTCGAGTAAAAAATAAACAGTTGAACTCCAATAAAACGGCAACCTGACAATTCTGGGCCAAAAAAGCGTGTTTTCGAGCCTAGGCTTGCTTGTGCTTGACCTGCTTGGCTATAAAGCCAATGCTGCTGCAACGTGAAAGTTTGTCAGAATAGGTAACTTCTTAAGCTCTGTCCAATGGCGTTTTCAAAAGAAACAAAAAATTTGTGCAACAGGGTTTTCCAGGAGGCTTCTGGAGATCCTGGAGGAAACCACAAAGGTCTCATAAAAACCGATAGCGCCATCGTGTT